CGTTGTACTATTTTCGGAAAGGGAGGGGTAAAAAGGCCTTTGCGAGCAGAGAAACCTACTAGATTAAAAGAAAAAGAAAAAAGAAAAAGGGCATCTGCCAATTGGGGAGGGCCACGAAGTGCCCTTTTTCACGCGCACCCCGCCTGGGTTTAAAATTTAAATGGAGAGAGAGCCGGGCTAGGGAGACAGCAACGGCTAGAGTGGAGGGGAACAACGGAGAGAGGGGGAGAAAGAGAGAGAGGGGATCCGCCGGAAGAGGAAGCCATCGCCGGAGGGACAAGAGCTTCCTTTGCTTGCCACCGATCAAGAAGGTAAAAACCTTACTTTCCTCTGTTTTTCTTTTGAATTTATATATACACAGAGAGAGATAGAAAGGGAGAGAACAGGTAGAGGACAGAACAGTGGACAAGAACACACTGTTCAGTCCTATAGGATGAAAGAAGAAATTGAAAAAGGGAAAAACGGAGAACGAATGGCTGGTTGGGAAACTGTTACAGTTTATTTCAAGTTTTATTTATTTCTTTTTTACTAAAAAAATATTTGAGTATATCATAAAAAAGATTATTATATACATTTTATCTTTTTTGATATATTAAAAGAACAAATAGCATTTTATTACTTAAAAATTTAACTTTTGCACTATACATCTAATGAATAAATGAAATAGATGATCTCCAAATAAATTTTAAATCTAGAATATTTACCTCATAATTAATATTTTGAGTAGATTTTCATCAGAACTTAAGGGTATGAATGCCTTTTTAATATTCTTCCCCCCAAAACTTACTCAAGTGGGGAGGGATTCAACTTTAAACTTATTGGGGTTAAAAAAAGTTATGGTTCACTTTGATCTTTCTTTTCTCGTTGAAAATTTTTAGATTTGCAAAAGAAATCCTCCAATTGAACTTCAAAGCGTGTTAAGTCAGACTAAGTATAGAAAAATTCAAAATCAAATAAAGAAACTGAGTTGGAGATTGAGTTCGGAGAAGAAAAGCACAAGATTGATAAATGTTGCCCAACGCTAGACCACAGGAGTGAAAAGCCAAAAACAAATGACAACTAATGCCAACAATAAGGTATATGGCAAAAGTTTGATCATTGAAATTAAAATTTTCTATTAGATTATATAAGATATGATAATAATAAAATACACCGTAAAAGTTGGAAAGAAATATTATCGAATGCATTTCAGATGAAAGATGTCTTTTCAAAAACTAATAATCATCATCTGCCTATAAACTTAATTATTGAGTTATTGAATTTATCTTAAAAGACATCTATATTCTTTAAAGTGGCACATGTTAAATTTTCGATGGAAATCTCACTAAAATATTGATTAAAGCTAAGTGTTGTAGACTTAAAAATTGCAGAGAATGATCATTTTTATATGTGTGCAAAGAGTATAATACTAAAAGTTAAATTTTTGTGGGAAGAAGTATTATTTATTATATTAAAATTTATAACAAAAAAAGAGAAAGAACGTAGTAAATTAAGAGTTGAATTTATAACTTTTAGATAAATTTTACAATTATTTCACCACTTAGATTAAAGTTTAAATTTGATATAAACTGAAAATTGAGGGTGAAGAGTTGCTTGAATTGGTATATATGACATATTTGAGCCTTTTCATTTTTTAGTTTTTAAATATATGAGTTAAAAGCATAGAATCCCTTGTTTTTTTTTAGATTACACAAAACTCTTTTATAATATGAAAATTACACTAAACTGTCTTGTATTTTAAAATTCTTTGAACTTTAGTCATATTTTTTTCCACCACAAAGTGTTAAATTGTAATAGTTGAATTAAGAATTTAATTAAGAGAAAATAAAAGATAAATTTTAATGTATAAAAAAGAAAGATTTTGGGGACCAAAATAAATAAAGGGTATTAAATTTTGTTTATTTTTACTTTTTATTTTTAAAAGAATTATTGAATTCTTAGTTTTGTTTGCTTATTTTGATGAAACAAACAATCATTACAAAAAATTATTATTTAAAAGTTTTTGAAGAAAATAAAATACACTTAACAAAATAAAATAAAGATAAAAAATAATAATTAGAGACATTCAATCCTCAATATCAGATAATTAAATTTATTACAAAAAAGAATGAATCATAATATAAAAGATAATATTTTTAATCAAATAATTATTTTAATTTTAAATAAATAATAAATAAGAAAAATTTACAACTATTTTCACTTAAAACAAGTAGGGAAATATTGAAATACAATATATTTTATTTTAATTCTTATATTAGAAGGAAGTTTTGTGCAAACCAATTAAAACATAGAAAAGTATTTTGGTTTTTTTAAAAATAAACTTTTAATGGATAGGGATTTGACATAGAGAATAATTAAATACAACATACTTTTATTTAATTTTTCGTATTAAAAAAAAGTTTTGTACAAGTTAAGTATAATATTGAGGTGGGGGGTGTTTTTACTGGCTTTTTTCTTAAAAATCTGTTTATAACATTTATGTTAAACTGGAATCACCTTGGACAGTAAATAAACAATACATACAAAGAAGAAGGTGAAAGAGAGGATGTTCTACGTGTGTATCCAAAAGCTGCTTTTCCCATAATTTTCCTTCAAAAGCAACGGCGTAATAAACCGGGATTCAAGTAAAGTGGATTTTTTCACCGCCCGATCAATTCATCAATGTGTGCTAACAACCACGTGTCCTGCCGTGCATGTTGGTCAGGTTGGGTACACGAACATGGCCCCACCACTTGAACCAACTGATTAAATCTTTTTCATCATAATCAAACGGTCTGTGTAATTTCTCGTAAAAAACAAAGAAAGGATGTTTACGTGGGGCGGTGGAGGAGATTGGAGGTTATCATCCTCTCATTAATTAGTCTAAACAAATCACAGTCCCTCATCGCTCTTTGTGGTACTATGAACTGCCATGACGTTTGGTGGACTGCATTGACCGTGCCAGTGATCTTTGTTCAGTATTGTTGGGTGTTTTACCGTTTGCTTGCATTAGACATGCATGTTTTATGGCAATAATGGCAGAGCTACTCTCCGGCGATGTTGGGTGGCGGGATATGGGTGAATAAATAGATTATTTAGCCGCCCTTGTTCGCGTTAGATTACTTAGGTAAATTTAATCCGATGAAATTTAAATACAGTTTGTCATTTTATAAAATTTTTATAAATTTATTTTAGAAGTTAAAATAATTTTATTAAACTTTTATTCAATTTATTAAACAAAATTATTATTACTATATGTAAAACAAATTATTAAAAGATTATTGCCTATATCGTTGCCAATTGTCAAATTTCACTTACCACTACCGGCCACTATTCTTTGTGAATACATTATATTTGTCTAGTTTTTTATTCAAAACATGTTAAATAATAAATAATAATCTAAAATATTATTTATTTAAGATATCTTATCTACGTTTAATATTTATCTAATCTCATATTATCCGATCTATCAAACAATCTTTTACAATATTAGCATGAATTGCAAAAAAATGTATTAATAGATTAATTTTGAATTCAAATTTCTCATATTTAGTGGCTTTACGAAAAAATTGTAATAAAAAATTCGATAAAAATTTGATCTTACAAAAAATAGTGTCTATTGTATTTAAATCCCTTCAATTTATCCACCAATTATATTGATCTCTAAATTTTTTAATTTTTTCAATTTAATTTTTACAAGTTTAAAATTATTAGTATTATATATAAGGTTATTAATTTAATGAAATATATTATTATAATTTAAATTTAGATCTTTACGGATATTTATAATCAAATTTAATCCATCAAATATTTTGATTATATTTAAATTATAAAATTCAAATCAAATTTAGATTATTGAAAAACCTAACTCTATTTATTTCATTCTTACCGAGTTTGTGGTTATAAATTTATAAGGCAGGAAAGGTGGCTCAATAATTCTTAAATCACTTAGATTGTCAAAAATTTAAAGAGTTAACTTGCAATTTTTAAATGATTATAATTTTTAATTTATAAAATTTACAAAATGCATATAACTCCCATTTGGTTTTCCATTGTTCCGTCCACAAAGCCTGCTTTGTTTTTGAAATGGAGAGTATTACTCATAAAGTTACCCTTCCAAGTCAAATAATTTTCATTATTTTCATTGAGAGGTTGCGTAACAAAAATCAAACATGTCAACTGTCTTAGCTTAATTTGTACCAATTGTTTGCAACCAATTCTCCCCCATTGTTCCCAGCCATGTACAAAGGAGAAAAGTAGAATACATTATCCTGCTCTGATAACATAAAGAAATTGGTACGGGAAAAAGTTTTGTAAACTTTGTTATAGGAGAAATATATATATATATATATATATATACATAAAGAAATTGGTACGGGAAAAAGTTTTGTAAACTTTGTTGCAGGAGAAATATATATATATATATATATATAGAGAGAGAGAGAGAGAGAGAGAACATCCTCCAATAATTAAGAAAAAATTTGAAACGAGGCCAAAATTTAATGGGTTAAGTTAATTCCACCTTCTTAACTTATACATTATAATAAGTTAGTTCCACCTTTATAACTTATGCTTTGTAATTTATCAAAATTAACTTTAGCCCAGTATCTAAAAGTAGAAAGTGAACAACGCGAACTTGTGAGCATGCCCCTGGATCATGGCCATACCTGCCATAACTCTCTCTTTCTCTCTCTCTCACACACACACACACACATACACACACAGCCCACACTGTAATTTCTCTCCCTATATATTGCACTAACCTCAGTGTGAGGCTTTCTCTCCACACTTCTGCTAGTTACCGCTTACTTCTAACCAACTCCTTTCTGACTCTCTCTTTCATTCTCACGCTAAGATCGTGGTAGAAAAATGTCGGTGAAGGACTGCCACCACCACCCCGACGACCTTGGGAAGCTCCCCTGCAAGGCAGTCGCAGGGGTCCTCGGCTTCATCATCCTAGTCCTGCTCGTGATCTTCCTCATCTGGGCCATCCCCGGCCCACCAAGCCCCAGTTCGTCCTCATGGACGCCACTGTCTTCGCCTTCAACGTCTCCAATCCCCCCAACTTTATCTCCACCAACCTCCAAATCACCATCTCCTCCCGTAACCCCAACGACCGCATCGGCATCTACTACGACAAGCTCGACGTCTATGCCACTTACTGTGGTCAGCAGATCACCCCACCGACTCCTCTCCCCTCCGCTTACCAGGTATATGTGTGAAAAAATGGTGAAAATATTTTTGTTATTTTATTAAATTTGCATATAAGTTTTTTTAAACAACTAAACAAAAATTTAAATGTTTTAATCATTCAGATTTTTATTTTCAAATAAGATTACAAAAATCTAGAAACTCTGGCAAACTAAACAGCTCCTTGGTGACGAGTGTTTATTTTCACTTAGAAAAAATCTAATTCAAAAATAAGAATATTTTTAGAGAAATAAATTTTTTTACCCTTTATTTATAGACTAAACATACTGAGAATTTAAAAAAAATTAAAAAACCTTTATAAACCTGAACATTTTCAAATTAATCATGTGGATCGGGTTGTATTAAATTTGAATCGGGTTTGATCTGACTCACTGATTTCAGGGTCATAAGGACGTTAACAGTTGGTGTCCGTTCGTGTGCGGAAACTGGGTGCCGGTGGCGCCGTACCTGGCAGTGACGCTTGCCCAGGACCAGGTCGCGGGGACGGGGCTTCTTAACATCAAGGTCGACGGGAGGATGAGGTGGAGGGTGGGTTCTTTCATCTCGGGCAGTCACCATCTTCATGTTAACTGCCCTGCTTACATCTCGTTTGGCAACACGAATAGCGGTATCTCCGTTGGACCCGCCGTTAAATATCAGCTGGCGCAGAGCTGCCACGTTGACGTTTGAGGAATTAGCCAGTAGTTTTTACGTTGACGTTGTAACGGGATGTTAAAGATTTATTTTTACTTTTGCCAGGTTTAAATTGGTAGACTCTATATCCTTTTTACGACTAAGAGGAAATCAAGCGAAAGGGGTTGAGTGTTTGCTGTTTGATCTATGGAAAATCAAGAGTAGATTACGAAATTATTTTCTTTTTTATTAATAGTTCGTCTTTTTTTTCTAATTATAATTATTTCCGATTAATGGCTTTGATTATCTCCAACAATAGTTTTAGATTATAGGGAGAGCCCCATGGAATTATTCTCATCTATTAATTTCCTGCACCTATCAAATGTTCTGCCTTTTCATTTGTTGGAAAATTGAGCAAACGGCGCCGTTTAATGAGTTTGCCAGTCTTTCAGTAGTCCTAGAACTGAATCGGGCAATAAACACATGAAAATAAATATTATTAATTTTTATTTATATTTTGGATATAGTATATAAGGACCATATTTAAACTTTTTTTGATTGTATAATTTAAACATTCATATATTTTAAAATGAGGTCGGTAATTAAGTACAATATTAAATTATTTAAATTTATAATTAAATGGAAATAAAATTAATTTTTAAATGAAATAGGTTTTATATATTACTGAAGCTATATTAAAAAATACAGCTTTTATTTTTTTATTATAAATTTACTAAAAATCAATAATTAAATGTTATGACACTCAATTTTTAATTTTATTGAACAGCCTCTAGGCCTAGTTGTTACACTTTCTAGATTTTTTATTCATATTTACTTCTACTTGGCAAATTAAAAGTTGCCAAGTGTCAATATTTGACTCTCTGAAATATAGTATCTAATATTAAAAATTAATTCAATAAATTAATTATTTTAATATCTATTAAATTAATATATATATATATATATATAACCTGCCCATCTTAAAATTTTGATAACTTTAATTTTACTTCTTTTTTTTTCTCAGCTTAGAGGTTGTATAGTTGGTTGAATAAGAGTAAATAAGGATAATTTATCCACTATTATCTTATTCGGATTCATGTTTAATAGATCGGATAAAGTTTGAATAAAAAAGAGATTGAATAATAATATAATCAAATTTAGATAAATTATATTAAAAAAAAGTAAAATACTTTTATCCAACATCTATTTAATTTATTTAAATAATATTATTTTTATTATCACCGCTAACTCATCATTTTTATCACATTTATCAAATAAATAATTATTCAAATCATACACAATCAAAATAATTTATCCAAAAATCTATTTTATCCGAACCACACCTATTCATACTTAAAAAATGGGTGTTTCTTTCTTTTAACCGTGGGTTGACGATGATAAATAAATAAATTTTTTGACTAAAAAGCGGGACAGAGTTCAGAAACCTAATGATATGCCTATACATACGAGCTTTTGCATTAATTACATACATAAAAATTTTGCAAGGATAATTTACACTCACACCCCTAGGGTTTGCCCTTATTACAGAGATATCCTTGTTTTAAGACTATTGTGAAGCAATACCCTTACTGACAATTAGATACCGTCATCGCTCTTAAAATTTGGGAAATGTTTAGTCTAGTTGATTGCTTTGGCCTGATAACAAAAAATTATTAAAAAAATCCGAAAATAAGTGAAAAAAACCTATTATGCATTTTTTAAATTTTCGTATATACAAAAATCAGAGTATAATAGGGGTGTCTCTGCAAACGAGAAAAACTGCAGGGGTGCGATTGGAAATACATAGAAAGGGAGCTTGGCAGGGTTGGGTTGGGGAGGGACTCCTTTGATCTCCTAGGGATCTATGTCCGTTGGTCAATGCCCACCCTCGAAAATTAACAAATCAAAGGTGGAGATTGTTCTAGACATTACTCGAAGAGTTGAAAAAGGAGGAGATAGAGTTGACGTTGTTAATTGTGTTAGCATGTATTTAGGATCTTGTTTGAAGCAAATGGTACAACCAAACACTCCATTTATCACCTTCTAATACTTGCTTACTTCATTTTTATTTTTTTATTTGGGGAATCAATTAGGGTATTAAATGCTTAATATGTAATTATACTAATATTAGGTTGCTTTATTTTAATCACTTGTGCTTCATGGTTACCGTTACAAACAAATTATGTGATATTCTTTTCTACATAAATTAAATGTTTAACCTTTGATTATATTAATTACACCTTTATTAAATTAATGATTTTAATGCATTGCCTATCTTTTTTTTATTTTATGATAATTGATTGAGTAGTGCTCGGTTAACCAATTTGATTGGTGTAATTAAATACTCTTGATCATTTTTTATTCAATATATATGTAATTATTTCATTGGTCATCTTCATCGAATATGTAAATTTTACATTTGGTTGAAACCTTTAGACTATATATAACTACGGGACTTGGTTACGCATATAGATGGTAATTATGAAATAAGTCTCTATGGTTTTAATCTTAAATGTTCCAAGTCGTACAATAAGTCAAGATAGGATATTGACTAGATTCATATTAGACTTGCACGTGTATAAACCATACTTGTAAGGAGGGTGCCTCGTTTCATAAGTGATCAGTGTAAGTGACACTAATGCATACACGTGAGTGCTTGTTAGAGAACAAGTTCATTGAACGATCGCGCTTAGAGAATTCTCTATTGAATGCTTGTCGGAAATTATAATTCTCTGTGTTTGCGATAGTGCATTAAGTAATTCTTTTACTTGATGTTCTGTTGTGATCTTGTATATGGGTACTTGTCATTTGATATTTTTCTCCAATCACAGGTTGATCACATAAGGGGT